CATGCCTGCCTCTCAATGCTAATGATGCTTTGTGCCTTTCTAGTCCAGCTGCTGAATCCCTCCAAGTGCTGCGGCTTGCTTCTCTCCCATGCCCCAACGCATTCCAAGTCTCTTATCCACAGCCCACTCTCACATCGTCCCCATGTGCTGGTGGTAAAGCACAGCGTGACCTCCCAGTGTGATTAATGCTGCTTGTGGGTCTGTGACACAGCCCCCAGGAGAGGTGATGTCGAGATAAACCCCTGCTCAACACCTGTTAGCGGCCTGAAGCCCAGGACCTTCCAATGAGCCCTTGATTCTGCAGGTGAACACAGCAGAGGCCAGAAGGTCCAGTGACTTTCCATGGCCACACAACAGTTAGAAATGACCTAGCAACACTGGAGCCCACATTCAGACTTTTCTGGCCTTTGCTTATTTTTTCAACTCACCAAAGACTAGTTAAGAGTAAATACGAATGACAGAGTTTACCAGCTTCGCCTTTTTTTTTTTTTTCGTGTGTATGTGTGTGGGGGGTGTGTGGGATAAGGGATATGTGCATGTATATGTGTGATGTGATGTGTGTGGTGTGTGTGTGTGGTGTGTGGTGTGGTGTGTGTGTGTGTGTGTGGTGTGTGTGTGTGTGTGTGTGTATGGTGTGTGTGGTGTGGGATGTGGGGTGTGGTGGGTGTATGTGTGTAAGTAGTGTGTGGCATGTGTATGTGTGTATGTGGTATGTGTGGTGTGTGTGCATATGTGTTTATGTGGAGACATGCACATGTATGTATGTGCATGCAAAGGCCAGAGACTCCTGCAAGAATCTGTAGAACTGTTCTCCACTTTTGAGACTGCTTGGAGCTTATCAGCTCAGCTATGCTGGCTAGTCAAGGAGCTTCAGGGGTCTGCCTGCCTTAGTGCTCCCCACCCCATCCCAACTCTGGCATTACAGGCGAGTACCACCACGCTGCGGGGCCACATACGTGGGCTGCAGGCACTCTTCCAACAGAGCCGTCTCCTCAGCCGTGGCTCCATCGTTTTTAGACTGTAAAGTTCAGTCATCCAAGCATCACCACCACCCAGCTGTAGGGTGTCTTAGCTCTTGAGTAGCTGGACCGTTTATTAACCACCCCCTCCCAGGCCTGGCAAACATCCTTCTACTTCTGTATTCTTAAGAATTTGACTTTGGGGACCTTGAATGGTGAGACCCTACAGGACTTGCCTTTTTGTGTTTGGCTTGTTTCTCTTCAGAGTCCTCAAGGTGCCACCTTCTTAGCATTCCCTTCCCTTTTAAGGCTAATAATACCCCGTTTAAGTAATGTTGGAAATTTGAACAGACTGGCTTTCCCAGATGCCTTTCCAAAACATCCACTAGGGGGCAGTAAAAGATACAGAAATTTTTCAATAAGCCTCCTGAGTGCCAAGCAAGCTGGCCAAGGCATCCTCTGTGTATCTCTCTCAGCCATCCGTGTATACAGTTACAAGATAATGGATTTCACATCCGACAGCAGAGCTGGATAAACCAGAGATACCATCAGCTGTAGTCTAAGAGCCGTCTTGCTCACATTCTGGCAAACACCAAGGCATAGAACTTCATTTCAGATAGTGGCTTCAGATGGTATTTTTGGCTTAATTCACTTTAGTCCAGTGGGTCCCACCCAGTGCACACATCAGAATCACATATCCAGGTCTCAGCTGAAATCAAGTCAAAATTTTCAGTGGGAGGTGAGGGTGGGGGTGGGGTCCAGAGATAGAAACTGTATTTAACATCAGTCATTGGAGGGGAAGGTGTCTATGGGGGCGGGGGGGGGGGGGACAGAAGTCAGAGGATATGAATTCTGAAAAGTCTTTCTTGCCAAAGAAGTGGCTGAGGGGACTGAAGATATAAGGACCTCATTTCCCAGGCCGTGTGTGTGTGTGTGTGTGTGTGTGAGTGTGTGTGTGTGTGTGTGTGTTTGTGTGTGTGTGTATGTGTGTGTGCACATGCGCGTGCATGTGTGTAGACCAGAGGTCAAAGCCAGATGTCTTTCTCAATTGCTCTTCACCACTTTGTTTGATTGTTTTTGTTTTGTTTCGTTTCGTTTCGTTTTGTTTTGTTTTGTTTTGTTTTGTTTTGTTTTGGAGGCAAAGTCTCTCACTGAGCCTGGAGCTCGGCTAGCCTGGCTGGCCAGCAGCCCTAGGGATCCTCCTGTCTCTGCTTCCCCAGTGCTGGGATTACAGGCTTACACCACCATGTCCAGCTTTTTCTGGTGGGGATCAAGCTCGGGTCCTGGTGGCGTGGCAGTTCCTTTAATGACTGAGCCTAATGGCACTTGCTTCTGATCACACTGGCAATCCAGACAGAAGATTTGAAACTGGGCTATCCCAGACAGCTCTGAGACAGCCATCTTCAGGGTGGGGTCAGAGCCCAGATGTCAGCAATGTCTGGGATACCAAGAGAACCTTTCCTACAGAAGTCAGAAAGTAGGTCTTTGATTTTATCTTATCAAAAATAACAATGGCCAAGTAACTTGAAGTGGAACCAAGAGATCTGGGTTCTTGTCCCAGTTGCCCACTAGCTAGTTATAGGACCCAAGGCAAGTCCTGTTGCCTCTCTAAGCCTCAGCCTCCCCCTTTGAATTATGAGTGGATGGGATGATGTCGATCTCCAAGGATCCTTTTGGTTTAGAAAATTCAACGATTCTATTAGAATTAATAATCTTGATTTGTAGTGACAACTCTGGCAAAGAGCAGAAGAAATATTCAACAGTGTAATAAATGACAGGGACTATTGACCATGTAGTTTAATTTATTTAAGGCACATACCCTGAATTCAAAGGAGAAAATATCACTCCTGATAATATATTGAACTGTTAGTATCATTGGCCTAGAAAAAGCTTCCCAGAGGCAGAAATTGCCTGTCAGTGCAAACTTGACATTTTTCCCTGGCTGATCCATGGCTGCCACTTGTCCATTGCACTCATATTTGCCGTAAAGGCCGTGCATGTGGATGCTTTGGATGAATATTAAATAATGGCAGAAACGTCAAGGTCACTGTTGCAGGAAAGGCTCTGTGAAGGGCCCGGGAGCCCACATTGATCTCTTGTGAAGTTCCATTCTAGAATCCTGCTGACATGGAGGAAACAATTGATGTGAACCATTATTAAGGCTTTAAGTGTTTCTCCATTGTTAAGGATCTTTTACAAGCCCAAGGAATCGGCAAAAGCTTCAGTTAGAAATATAGGCCAGTCAAAGAGATAAGTACATTCTAGAGCACAGATGGCCTGGGTCAGGCTTGCACAGCAAAGGCAAAGGCTGGCCGTGGACGTCACCGGCTCTGTCTGCCTCTGGGCGCTGCTCTTAGTGACAGCTCAGAGCAGAGCTTCCATGCCGGAAGCTGCAGAGAGCAAGGCGTCCTCTATGCCTTTGTCCGTCTTCACATGTCCCCACTGAAAACCTCCTCTCTCAACATTTCAGTTATCAACTTCCATAGCTTCCCAAAGCTCCCCAACATGGCTGTCTCAGGCTGTCTTAGTACCTGAGCCTGGCCGGTTTGCAAAGAATAGAAGTATGTCTTTCAGCTCCACAGTCCAATGTCAAGATGCTGGTAGCTGGTGAAAGATCTTTACTGCATCACACGGTGGCAGAGAGCATCATAGGACAAGACATGGCAAATGTGCTAGCCGGCAGTGGGGAGGGGTGCTCCCTCTCCCTTTCTCATGAAGACACCAGTGCTGTCACGGCCTCCATTCTAATGGCCTCTCCAACTTTACCCGCTAAGTTGCCACCTTGAGATATCATCAATATATGCATATGGGGGTTAAGTTTCCACCATGTGAGCTCCAGGGGAACACCTTGAAGCCATGGCCTGGAGGAATTGGGTACCTATAAATTATACACGATCACAGGTCCAGATCTGAACTGGCCAAGTGCCTGGATCATCATGGGAGTCTCCTACTGACCCAGAACGGGGAGGAGGGCAAATGCTGCAGATGACAAACTAAGTCTCCAAAGGTCCAAACAGATTGGAGGCTGGGCCAAGTCTGTGAGGCGCACATCAACCAGAAAACCCGGTTCTCGTGTGCTGGCTCGGGGTGACTGCACTCGGTCCTTTGCACGTTTCAGTTGGTCACATCTTTATATTGTCCCATTGAGGGTTGAAAGGAATATGGACGAAGGCACAGGGCTCTAGAGCTGTCAGTCCAGGACTCAGTCCCAGCTCTGCCACCTCCCCCAGTTAGAGTGGCAAGTTACTCTATCTTTAAAGCATGACAGTGGCTGGGCTTTTGTCACTCACACATCAGCTTTTATTTTCTCATTGAATTCTTAGCCCAATCTCACCCTGAGCTGAGGATGTAGCTCAAGGCTAGCATGTGCAGAGGTAGCTCAGGCGGCCGCATGCTTGCCTAGCATGCACAGTCCAGCACCACATAAGCTAGGGGTGATGTTTACTTATCTGTAATCCCAGCACTTGGGAGTTGAAGATAAAAGGGTCAGGAGTTCAAGGTCATCCCTAGCTACAGAGCAAGTTCAAGGCCAGGTTAGACAAGGTACCCTGCTCAAAACAAAGAAGATCGGGAAAGAAAAAAAGGACAATATTAGTTCTATTTAGCAGATATGGAAGGTAGAGAAATAATTTGTTCCGTAAATGACAGCACCAGGCCTTGAACCCAGGCAGGCTCTTTCCTCTCACACATAACATCTACACCCCTCTATAACATCTACACCTCGTGTTTTCTGGGACAGTTTGATGAAGTAACTAGTGTAAGGTGCCTATATGATACCACAGGCACTCACAATTTGTATTAAGCCATTGTCATTGTTATTAGTTACATGACTCGTACAAGAATACAACTAAGGATTGGCAAAGTGACTTGAACTCAGTCTTGTGACTGCCTTTCTAATCCATGTTCTACCTCCCTCTAGAGACTGAGGACAGTCCCATGTCACTGTACCCCCAGATGGCATCATCTCTGTGGAAGACACCTGGTGAGCACTTGGGAAGGGCGATCTCTGACACAGTGCTAAAGGTCTTTCCCTCCCCCCAGGTCCGGATGGTGAAAGATGGTGACCCATCCTGGAAGCCCACTTTTATTGTGAAACCGGACGGTGGTTGTCAGGGTGATGGAATCTACCTCATTAAAGATCCCAATGACATCCGCCTGACTGGGACCCTCCAGAGCAGGCCGGCAGTGGTCCAGGAGTACATTTATAAGCCTCTCCTTATTGACAAGCTCAAGTTCGACATCCGTCTGTACGTCTTGTTGAAGTCATTGGACCCCTTAGAGATTTATATAGCCAAAGATGGACTCTCTAGATTTTGTACAGAGCCATATCAAGAGCCGAACCCCCAGAATCTGCACCATGTCTTTATGCACTTAACCAACTACTCGCTGAACATCCACAGTGGCAAGTTCATCCACTCTGACAGCGCCAGCACAGGCAGCAAGAGGACTTTTTCGAGCATCCTCTGCAGACTCTCCTCTAAAGGTGTGGACATCAAGAAGGTCTGGTCTGACATCATCTCCTTGGTGATCAAGACGGTCATCGCCCTGACCCCAGAGCTCAAAGTTTTCTACCAGTCAGACATCCCTACAGGGAGGCCAGGGCCCACCTGCTTCCAGGTAACCATGATAGCTTCCATCCTGAACTTCCTAGCCTCGATTGGGCCAAGGAATGGGATGAAGGATGGGGTAGGATGGCCAGATGTAGGCATATATGTAGATGTAGGCATATATGTAGATGTAGGTATATATGTAGATGTAGGCATATATGTAGATGTAGGCATATATGTAGATGTAGGCATATATGTAGATGTAGGCATATATGTAGATGTGGGCATATATGTAGATGTAGGCATATATGTAGATGTAGGCATATATGTAGATGTAGGCATATATGTAGATGTAGGTATATATGTAGATGTAGGCATATATGTAGATGTAGGCATATATGTAGATGTAGGCATATATGTAGATGTAGGCATATATGTAGATGTGGGCATATATGTAGATGTAGGCATATATGTAGATGTAGGCATATATGTAGATGTAGGCATATATGTAGATGTGGGCATATATGTAGATGTGGGCATATATGTAGATGTAGGCATATATGTAGATGTAGGCATATATGTAGATGTAGGCATATATGTAGATGTAGGCATATAGGTGGTGGTGACTGCTATGGGCTTTTGAAACCTCCAGCCCGACTTCCACCTTTCTCTTTCCTGTGTGACTTGGGCCAAGCCACTCCCCTCACTGAACTACAGGTCTGTAAGATTCCTGTGAGAACACGTGTGTGTGTCATTCATTCTCCAATCACTGAACAGTTGTTACCACCTACTTAGGGGGCGTCAGGCATTGTGGAATACTGCTGCCCAGTGTTAAGAGTCCACCCTGGGAGGAAGAGCGCTTAAGAAGCAGCTGACAGTGTTACAAGTGGTTGAATGAAAGAGGGAATGGAGCAGGCGCTGTGGGCCTGTGGACCCACCTACCATTCCTGGCTGAGTCCAGAAAGGCTTCCTGAAAGCTTAACTAACATATGACGTGAGAGAGAGTGGATAGGGACAGCCACAGAATGCTCTAGGTGGAGACATGTTGCTTTGGAGGTAAAAGGAAAGGAAGCCTGGTGTGTCTGAGATACCGAAAGAAGTTCACTGTGGTGAGGGTGGGGTTGAGGCACAGGTGAGGGGTATGAGGGGTAATGAGGAGGGAAAGTAGGTTAGAGACAAGTGGTGGAGAGCCTGAGGCGGTGGCAACCACAGAGGGTTATAAACAGACTACACTCAGGCTTTCACATTCTCAAGGACACAGTTCCATGACCTGTGGGTTAGGTACTGAGCCAAGGCTAGCTGCAAGGAGCCTGCAATGAGATAAATGCTGCTGTACAAGCAGAAGATGCTGGTTCTGAGTAGGGAGGTCTTGGTAGGCATGGAGAGAATGGGTAAAGCTGAGTGCCATTTAAGAGGCTGGATGGCTAGACTTGGGCCGATGTGGTCTAGGGAAAGAGAAGGGATGGTAGCAGAGAGAAGAGGAGGAACTGAGATGGAGACACGCGTCTTGGGCTCTTGGGAGGTGGGAGAGAGGCTACCAGGACAGGACCAGCTAGCAACAAAGGCCAGGAACTGGAGGGAAATGTCTGTGTGGCAGCCGAAAGGAGAGGTCAGTATACAAGTTGATGTTTGGGCTGGCATCCAGGAAAGACAGGGTGGGCTGGGGAAGAACTGAGAGCTCGCCTGCAGCAGCGACTGAGGGTATGAGGTGATCTGGAGAGGACCCTACGACACCTCCACTTAACAAAGGGATGGACTGAGGCAGGGAACCCACAAGAGAAACTGAGAAGTTTGGTCAAGGGTGAATGTTAGAAATGCCAAGAAGAGGGACACCTGGGCCTGCAGCCTCAAACATTGCCAGGATGTCAGGCAAGGCCATCCCTGGAACTGTCTGTTATGTTCACTGACACTTCTCCTGGGGACTCTAGCAAGACCTGTCCTGGGCAACCAACCAGTCTGTGAGAGGGAAGGAAATGGAGAATGGTGTAAAACAGCTTTTTAAAATACAAGTCAGGGGTGAAACAGGAGCCTGGAGACCAGGCACTCACTGGGCACTCTTTCCTGCCACCAGATCTGTCAGAACAGGCAAGAGAAGATAAACCTCTGGGATCCTCCTCACCTAATCTTTGAAATTGTTGCATAGCTGTGTGTGTGTGTGTGTGTGTGTGTGTGTGTGTGTGTGTGTGTGTGTGTGTATGAGATAAAAGAACACAGAAGATATTTGTAATGACCACACCTGACCCACCGCCCGGCCCCTATTAGTGTGTTCTTCCTATTCTATTCCCTGCCTGTCCTCGACATAACCACTCTCTGAATGTTATGTTGACCATTTTCTCCATTTTCAAAACTACATGTGGTTGTGCACAAATGTTCCGCTAGACAGGACACTGCCTTATTTGACTTGCTTCTGAGCTTGATAAAATCCCTGGTGTGAAGTCCTGTCCCCTGAAGCGCCTGCTCCTTGTGGACAGCATTCCAAAGGTCCATCCAACTGCCAGGGCTGCTAGTGGCTTTGACTGCACTGGTGTGCACTACTGTAAGTGTACACAATCTATTTACACTTTTTCTGCAGAGAAAATGAGCATTTCCTGGCCATGCTAGGAGGGTCACAGACAGTAAGGAGCAAGAGTGAGGAGAGAGACCAGAACAACGACTCTCACAGGCACACACCCACTCACCAGCACATGAGTAGGCTGGGTAGCCCAAAATCTAGAGAGGCTGCTCAGTGGCTGGGCTTCCCATCAGCAGGGTCATCAGGTAGAAGCCCTGGGGGTGGGAATTGAGGCAGTGGGAGAAGCAGGAGGTGGTAATTGTCTTCTAGAGTCCCATCCATGGTCCTATGGCTCCTGTAGGTCTTTGAAGTGTTTGAAGATTGCTTATCTATCTGAATTATATCTCTGTATGACTTTGAAAGCATACCTAACATACCCATAAGTTTGACTATTATAGATGACTATTAATCTGTATTTCTTAATTATACATTACATTTTAAATGAGCTGCATAAACACAATACCCTAAACAAGAATAGAAATATACATACAGTATAACAAAATTAACTTTAAATTTGTGTCAAAAAAATAAAATCCATACCAATGCAAAATATGTAAGATTAATAGTTGTTTTTGGATTAAAGTAGGTTTAATAATCTATCCTTTTTTCCCATCATTTCTATATCATACCCCCCTTTCTTCTTTTAGAAAGAGATTGACTATGACCAATAACGATTTGGAACCAAACTCCTAAACAAAGACAAACATCCATAATCCATTTTTTGAGAATGTGGGTGTAGTGTTCTAGGCTACTTCCTGCTGATTGGGGATGAGCAAGTAAGTGTGTCGAATAGCCATGAAGAGATGGTTAGGGAGGGCAGGTGAGGAAAACTTCCAGGCAGTGCTGGAACAAAGAAGTCCTGACCCAGGCTACCACAAAATGAGGGCAGAGGAGACAGCTGTGATGTGGTCACACACAAGGTTCATCCCTGAGGACTGTGTGGTCATGCCTGTTTGGTAGTGACAGCTATTCTAGGAGCATCACATGGGGCCAGGCAAGCACGGCCAAACCACAGATCCCTCGCATGGTCACAATAGCAGCAGGGAGAGCCAGGATGGTCATTTTGTTTTGCAGTAGACAGGCAGCAACAAGCAGCCATTGGGGTGGGGCAGGGCCAGCCACAGAGAACTGAAGGGTTAGATCCAGAGTTGCTGATTTGGTCAGGTCACATCTAACTGATGGGCCCAAAGTCTCATGACCATTTGCCCCTGCTTGGCCACACTGAACAGTTTCTGAGGAGATAGGCTGGAAATGAAGCCCGTTCTAGCTTCGTGAGGGTTGGAGTCTTTCTCATCACCCAAAGCCACTTAGATTCTCTCTATACACTCACACCTGTATGGGCACATTGGGAAGTGATGTGGGTGAAAAGGCCTTAACAAGGTATGCAGTGGTATCCACTTACCATTTGCTGGCTGCATGTCTCAGACGTACAGCGAGGGAGAGGAATCAGTAACCTACTCTCCGCCCCCACCTCCCCCACCCCACCTCCCACCCCCACCCCCACCCCCCGCCACTCCTGCTCTCTTTACTTTCTTCACTTCTCAGGATGTCGTTAGCTGGGTTCCAGATACCTGAGCAGACCTAGAACAGGTTTGGGCCATGATATAGTTCTGATGTCCATTTGCCATGTGACCTGTCCTAAATCACTTAACTTCTCAGGAACTCAGTTTCCCCATCTGCCTCACAGGGTTGTCCAGCTCACGAGATAAGGACGATAAAGCTCTTTGCGAACTGTTGAGATACTACACAAACATGAGAAGCTATTTCTTTGCTGGTAGCCCCTCTTGCTTGGCCAGATGGCAGCATTGCAGAGCATAAACTCCAGCCAACCAAATTACATTCCTCTAGGGCATGTGACTGTGACCCTGTTCCAGCCACGAACACAGTAATGACCTGGAAAACATGGTGGCCAGGCAACCGCTGGCGTGGCTCAGTTGTGGTCAGATTTCCTGTCATCTGCTGCTGAGGAACACAGCTGCCCTGTCATTCCAGCCCATCCCTTTCATCGTCCAGGCAGCCCCAGCCACAGAGCCTCACATCTGCTGTCTTGAGGGCAGCAGTGTGACCCTGGCTTAAACATCAAGGTCAGCTAGGGTGTAGTTGATCACGTGGCAGAAACGCACGCAGAGAAAAGTCTTCTGCTTGGTTCTCCAGAGGCTCTTCCCACTCTGTGCCTTAGTCTGTTTACTTTTCTTGTTCCCATGTCTAATTCTGTCCTTGGCCATGACCTTCCTGTTGTATGTCTAGAGGTATATCATTCCTGAGGCCTAGTGTGGTGCTCTTTCTCTCTTTCTCTGTGCCCTCTCCCTTACCCCACAGCCCAGACACTCCAGCAGGCAGAAGCCAAGACTCAGTGGGGTGGTCAAGGGGGTTTCCTCCTCAAACACACTGGGTTTGAGGTTTCCCAGTTCCCACTTACAGCAACTGTTGTTAGTGAGCTTGATAAACCAACCTTTCCTTGTCTGGGTTCCCTTACCTAAAAGGAGCAAGCATGTTTATAGCTACACCCCAGAGCTGTT